GGCTGTGTATATGTGAGGTAATAGTTTTTCTAATGTTTTATTATTGGTTTGCCGTTTGTAATGTGAGTCATTGCTTACTCAGATACATAACATTTGAGTGCTTGACGTGATCTTATTTAATAAGCAACGGGAAAAAGTAGTACATAGTATTGTATGCTAGTGTTTTCTTACCTCTGATTTATGAAAAAAAAAGTCAAAGTCCATAGTTTTGTGTTATTTGTAAATTTCGTAATGGAAAAATTAGAATATTAATCAGAAGAATAAAAACGTGTTTAATCAAGTCGGTACTGGTCACTATAGAATTTATAATGATAAAAAATTATTTTAATAGGTCGGTCACGCTATTGGTCGTTTATATGTATGTGTGTCTTTCGTATGTGATTCCAAATTACCATGTTGTAGAACATCTTCACTATTTAGATCGTATTTTTGAAACATTTTTGAAGATTCTATGAGTTGTTACAACTTGCATAACATTAAACTTTTCTTAAAGGGACAATGAATAAGAAATAGTACTATCAAATCATTACTAATCCCAGTTTTGATATTTTAAATTATTACAATTTTTGTGATTCATAATCCTTAAATCGATATAGACTTTGTTGATGTGCTCGGATATTACAGATTAATCACAAATTTCATAGAGATTGTGCTTAGACTTTTGAAAAGAATTTCAACCAATGGATTTGGTTCGGACAATATATTATTTTGGTAAATTTTATTTAAATATTTTAGTCCAATGTTTCCTTAGATGTTTTTACCTGGAGGTGTACACGTGTACGAAGAAGTTTCTGTCTCGTTAAAATACGAATAATTTTTTACACTGTACTATAGTCTATAGTAATAATATTAAATAAAAGTTCTTGTCGATATAAGGAATTAATGAAATATATAAAAGTACAAGCAAAGCATTAAACAAAATGAGAGGCAATAATAAATTACACACATGGAATGAAACATTGTCCAGGGGAAATGAATCCTAAGAAAAGCAGAAAGTACAAATTATTTTAGTTAAAAAATACTATCAGTAAATCAGTAATATTAATAAAAATATTACAAAATTTTAATTGTATATTTAGGAAAAGTCCATCAATCATGCGTTATGCATGTTATTGTGGCCAACGAATCTCACAAAACGCAAGACTTGTTTGATTCTCCTCCTCGAACGAGATCCACCCAAAAATATTATATTGCAAAAAAAAAAAAAATTATACTTCAATAAAATAACTGTGCCTAATTTTAAGTGTATTCGTTTATTCAATAGAGCTTTGCATCATTGTATTTTAACTTTATCGATGAGAAAAAAAAAAAGTATACATTTGGGTAATAATCAGAAAACAGAATTTATTTACCAGACACAAAAAGACAATAAAAGTAAATGAATTATTGAGCTTTAACGTATAAGATCTTTCAAGCTGGAGATGAACGGTGAGGATGTATTGTAGAGTACAGTAACTAGAGTGGTCCGTGGCACAGGTGATTAACTCAAGTCAACCAGAAAGTCCTAAAACCGGCTTTATATATGGACACCAAATCAACAAGCT